AAACAACTAAGCCCACATGGAAGCTGCACACCAGCCTGTGTGATCGTGAGATATCGACAGGATCAGGTATCAAAAGATCCAAAACAAACAATTGTATCAATGTGAAAGAGGGGGGTTGGAGTGGAGACCTAAATCCCATCTGTAGACAGTTGGACATCCCTCCACAGAAGGGTTACAAGAAAGGGATGATTCAACCAGGGTGCAATATAGCACCGAAGAAACACACATCATTCCTGTCACAAAGTTGGATATATAGCTGCCCCCTGCCCCCCAGGCAGATGAATAACAGAAATGTGGGTGAAGGGAGACAATGGACAATGTAAGATATGAAATAATAATATATAATTGATCAAAGATTCACGAAGGTGGGAGGGTCGGGGAGGGAGGGGAAAAAAACTAATACCAAAGGCTCAAGTAGAAAGGCAATGTTTTGGAAATGTTGATGGTAACATATGTACAAGTGTGCTTAATACAATTGAGTGATGGGTTGTTATGAGATTTTTAAGAGCCTGCCAATAAAATGATTAATAATAATTTTTAAAAGATGGGCTGCAACAGTGGGCGCAAACATAACCATAGTGAGGGTGGCACAGGCCGGGGCAGTGTTTCCTTCTGGTGCACACAGGGTTGCTAGGAGTCGGAACCTACTCATCCACCTAACCACCACCACCCGGCAAACGGTTTTGCTACCAGTGTTCCCTTACTTTCATTCCAAACGAAATGTGCTTAAACATGTCTCTGGGATCAATGCAAACAAGTTCTTTTTTTTTTTTTTTAAAGGGGGCTGTGTCTTGAAGAAAAAAATAATTTTGAGGCCAGGGCTAATGCAAAATTTTTAACAAACTCAAGTGGGCAATCTTCCCAAATTATTGAAACTTTGCAACAAGGAAATTCTGCTTCGCTAAAACAAAAGCAAAAGTTTGCATTTGGATCATTTTAAAGATGAGCTGAGAGGTAAGACCATCGACCTGGACAAATGAAGCAACCGTGACATCTACAAGCTGAGAGAAGGTATAACCACCGATGCGGAAACCACCGCCGCTGGGACTGCACATGGTTACGCATTTCCAATGTTAGGCAAACAACTGGGCCTGAAGCAAGCTTTTGGTTTGAAGGGTACCAAAAGTGTTGCACAAAGATAAACTAGCTCAGAGCTGATCCTTTTATGTCAAGCAAAACCAAAGCTAATGGTGACAATGTCATGGAATTAATCCTGGGACAAATCTTGGATTACCAACTCAACCTACAGAGCAAGGTCCCCTGACAACGGTGACTTCACAGATGGGATCCCTTACTTGCAGGCAGGTCACGGTGAAAGTTCAGAAAGGTTGGGAAAGGAAGAGGGATGAAAACAGAAGCACAGGGAGGAAGTAAAGAGGGAGAAGTGATGTTACACTGTTGATTGCAGTCAATGATATAAAACAAAATGTGTATGTATTTTTGAATGGAAAATAGATTTGCTCTATAAACCTTAACTCAATTCACAAAAGGTTAAAAGCAAAAAAAAAAAAAAAGGTCATGGTGACTACTCTTTGAGAGATTCCAGGTTAATCTTTTCTTGAAGAAAAGGACAATTAAAGGGGCTTGTTAGGAAGACGTTTAAAGACAACTGAAAACTTCATTGATGAGAAAAAGGCCAGGGAAGTTATGCTTAGGAACTACGCCCCCCCCCCACCCCATGACAATGTACCTGCTCACTTCTCGATGGTAGGTAAGGGCTGTCCCGTCAGAACTGCACTGGGAAACCTTCGCTCACCCAGCTTACAACCCTCATCTTGCCTCGTTTAACATCTGTTCCCCAAACTCAAAGACCAATAAAACGGAACACGATTTGAGAGCCTTAAAGATGCCCAACTTGCTGTTTGGATGTGACAAAGTGAGAAGTGCAGAATCCCTCAGAGAAGGGTTAACACTGCCCTCACAATGATGGGACTGTATCAAGAAACTGCCTCACATTTTGTTATTTTGGTTTAATAATGATTTCTATGATTCTGTAGTAATCCTTTTAGATTTACCCTCATATAAGGGTAGCCATATAACAGAAGTTTATGAATTTTGCAGAGATGGACTCTAAAGGTTTCTGCAGATGCAATCAATTACTTAATATGGCTCTTCGACCCACAGTCTGTAACTATCACTAAACAGCCTTTTCCTGGGTAAGAAGGTGGGGGGAAGACGCTGACATGATTCACAGGCTGTTTAACAGGCTTAACTGTCATTGCCATCCTGCTGGGTTTATAAGGAGCCCTCTGAGAAGCAGCAAGTGGCTTCTCCCTACCACAAAAACCAGGAATGGCATGCAGCGCTGGACCAGTGGTTCTCAACCTGTGGGTCGCGACCCCTTTGGGGGATCAAATGACCCTTTCACAGGGGTCGTCCGAATCATAACAGTAGTAAAATGACAATTACGAAGTAGCAACGAAAATAATTTTATGTTCGTGACATTCATCACGACATGAGGAACTGTATTAAAGGGTCGCAGCAATAGGAAGGTTGAGAACCACGGATCTGGACCCCGCGATCCCTGTGCAGTGAGCCATCCTGATCCTGAAGGCAGCTCTGACGTCTGAAGAGCGGCGAATGTGCAACAGAAGCAGGAACCAGAGTGTGAGACAGAATGGTGGCTTCCTAGCTCAGAGAGAAGTAAAACTGAGTGCTCTGGAACAGGAGCCTGACTGGTGGAGCGGGGTGTCCCTGGGTAATTCATTGGGGGGGTCTGAGTGCCTTTGGTTTGAGGCTTATTGCAGAGTAGCATGCCCTGGCCTATGGGCATTTATTAGCAGCCCTCAAAGAACTTCCTAACATGCCTAACTGAACAACTCTACTCTGAGCACTTCCTCCTGTTAACTTCCTCAAGCGTGAATATTGTCAGAGTTCCGTGTGCCCACTGCAATGAATTGTAAGACATGGGGTAAAGCAGAGTATGAGCCAGAATACCTTTTTCCAAGTTTAAAACCCTAAAGAGATATATTGATGGTATCAAGGTCTAATTTTTTCTCTACTGACAGTAGCTTTTCTTTTGAAAAACAAAGTACTCTCTGTAAATAGTATCATCAGACTTCAGAAACAGAACTCTTAGAATCAGCTCATCTTACCTTATTACAATATATGAGATTGCTCCAAAGTTATAAGCACCAGGGAGAGATAACTCCACAACTGAGAAAATCACAATGCTGTATTGAAAAGGGGGGAGATAACAGCTACTCATATGTTAATAACAGGGTTCCACTGGCACCTAATCGGGTCTCTTGTCTTTTAGGAATCTGTTTCTTTGTAACGAAACCAGTGAATCCACTACCAAGTTGAGAGAGTGAAGCCATCACAGAAACCCTCACTGTAAGGCTGAGTGAAATAACTCCAGGAAGCCAACTGTTGGGTCCAGACAGGGCCTTCCACTGACAACACAGTTCAAGGGCAGGTTCAACAGGGCAGTTGCCCTTTCAGTGAGTAACAGAGATTCATGAGCAAGTTCAGACATTCTAGTGCTCAGACTCTAGGACTCATGCATGATTAAGTACCGCCTACGGGTTAAAAATACTATCCTAACATCTTTTAAAACGGACTTGATTTTTAAGAGCCTTAATTTTTAAGTAGCTTAAGCACTCAGCTGCTACCTGAAAGTTTGGCCTTTGAGGCCAGAGGGTCTGTGGGAGAGAGACCCGGAGACCTATCTGCTCTCATAAAGATAACTGCATCCAAACCCCTGGGCAGCCCTACTCCACTACCTGCAGTCACTATCGGTTGAAAACACGTTTTTTAAAAGGCGGTGTTTCTTTTATGAAACCTCAGCACAGGGAACTGGGCTGTTTTTGTAAACTGTCTCAGTCTGGTTGTAGAGAGCATAATGAACTATTCTCACTCTTCATAACACTATCTGCATGTGGCCACACAGCGTATTCTAGTTATCTGTATTCTAATTTTCTAACGCCCTTACTGACTGTATAGAGGGGGGGAAATAATTAGAATCTAGTTCTCCTTGAGATTTCATGAAACCAGGCATCAAAGAACAAAAAATCTTATCATTGTGAATGAGGGGGGTGCAGAGTGGAGACCCAAAGCCCATCCGTAGGCAATTGGACATCCCCTCACAGAAGGGTCACAGGAAGGAGACAAGTCAATCAGGGTGCAGTGTAGCACCGATGAAATATTACAACTTTCCTCTAGTTCTTTAATACTCACCCCCCCCACACACTACCATGATCCCAATTCTACCTTAAAAATCCAGCTAGACTAGAGGATGCACACTGGTACAGATCAGAGCTGGAAACACAGAGAATCCAGGACAGATAAACCCCTCAGGACCAATCATGAGTAGAGATACCAGGAGGGCAAGGGGGAAGGTGGGGAAGAAAGGGAAAACCCGATCACAAGGATCTACATATAACCCCCTCCCTGGAGGACGGACAAAAAAGTGGGCGAAGGGGGACATAGGTCAGTGTAAGACATGGAAAAATAATAATAATTTATAGATTATCAAGGGTTTGGGAGGGAGGGAGGGGAAAAACTGAAGAACTGATATCAAGGGCTCAAGTAGAAAGAAAATGTTTTGAGAATGATGGTGGCAACAAATGTACACGTGATTGACACAATGGATGTACGTATGGATTGTGATAAGGATTGTATAAGCCCCCAATAAAATGATTTATTAAAGAAAAAAGATTTTAAAAAGCAGGGGAAAAAAAGATTCTACGAAACCACTTATTTTGTTTATCACATTATTTTATGACAGATTATAATAAAGTCCCTTGATAGGGTAACTAGTTGAAGAATGCCTGGCTGTTCTTAGCAGCCCCAAGAGAACTTGTAACATGCCCTGACTGCCCCTTTCTGACCCTTTAAAGCACCAATGGTGGGGAGAAATGGGGGAGGAATTAGCTTGATTCAGGGGGTTGACTAAGTTTCTTTCTAACCTTAAGCCTCAGTATATGTCTATTATTTTTTTTTAAAGGTGAATGAATCTAACTATAAAATGTAGACAATTCAATCTTAAAACTCAAACAGAATATTGAAAACATTTATTAAAACAAAGTTCAATGTATTCTACAGAATGAAAGTGTTCAATCTTTTCCTATAGCTATTTAAAGCTGGTGGGCCAGTTTTGACTCTGATTTGCTAAAATCTATCCACAGCTCTTTGATTATTTGATCAGGACCAGAGTGTAGCCTAAACCACAAAAAATTGGGGATTACATGAAGCTGTAAGCAGTTGTTTTAAAAAAAAAAAAAAAGTAGAGACTACATACACACTGAAATAGGATTACGCCCTTTAATCTGTGTGACATGGAGGGAGGTGGGAGAACCTGAAAGAAATTTCATTTTAGCTCTGCTTATTAGCATAACCAACCGGATGCTCTTCCCATAAAGCATACTGTGATTTACAGAACTATTTTTATCAGAATACTTTAGGAAACCTTACTAAGTGTAATCCAGGAAATATACTATTTGCAGAATAGGAAGATCATCATGGGCAACTGAAGATTAAAACTGGGTGGGGCGGGGGGGAGGAGCACCAGGCCCTGGACAGCTGTAAGGTGAGTATATCTGCAGAAACAGTATAAATGCTCTTGACTGGCTGCTGTGGGAGCATCCGCGTGAGGACTGATACTTGGTCCATGTCTTAATATTTTAAACATATTTCTTTGGAAATGGCCATATTGGCAGGGGGTGATGTTATCCTTTTAGACACCCAGCTTGTTGGCCTGGGTGAGGACAACCTTGAGAACAGGCATGAAGGCGGAGGTCTCGCTGAAGTTGCTGGTGCTGACTATGTGGGTGTGGATGTTCAGCCCTGCAGGGTAGTCCCGAGCGTCAATGCTCCTCGCGATGCTGTGCAAGCCACTGACGATGGTAGGGGACAACTGAAATAAAGGCAGACGCAGAGAAGTCATGACACTGAGGAAGGACGTTCCCATGAGCTCTCCTATAAATATTATACCCAGACATCCAAATGGGGCTTAGAATGAACACAAGACATATAAACCTATGCCAGTACTTTAGAAAGAATAGCTTCTAGGACCAAATAATACTGAGGCTGCAGACCATGACAAAAATTTACATTAAAAATACGTTTGAATTATACATACAAGGGGACTTCAAGAATCAAAAATTTCATTATCTGTCAATTCCATTTTTCTGTGAGTTTTCTGAAGCCCCTTTGAACAAAGGCTGTATGTTTTCCTACTTTAGAAAGGAAACCAGATTCCCTCACCACAAGCTGACACGCTTCTGCACTTAAAAGTTTGAATTCCGTTATTCTGGTGTGGCCCCGGACCTATTAAAAGTTCCCTTGCGTACAGGAAGGAGGTTAAAGACTCTCAGGCACATCCCTCGGAACTCGGGCCCACTTCCATTGAGCAGGGCGCCAGACCTCATCATGTATCAACTCGCCAATTCTTAGCAGACTCCTGTGATCCTGTCACCTCTGGACACCATAAACCTGTAGCTTTCTTGTGCCTGTCATTGCTTGGACTACACACTATGTTTCAGAGAGAGGACGTCATTGTCAGCGAGGCCACACTGCTCACTGCTCATTAGAGAAGCCCTTCGTTATCTTTCTCTGACAGGAATGGGGGTGGGGAGTCCAGTTCTGTTTGTTCTCTCTGACTCCAGTGCTTTCATTAATGGAACACGTCTAGGAAGAAATGGCGAGACATGGACAAAGGACAGACACAGTGCATTTATCCATGTGTTTGTTAGCCGTCTTCACCGTTACATGTTAGCCTGCTCATCGTGTGGCTACACTTGTCTTTGCTTCTGTGTCACAGCTACTGTGCAAGGAAAGGATCAGGAGCTTTAGACTATGAAACAGATTTCAGATTTGGTCTCTAGGAAGTATCTAGTATCTTCCCATCTGATTTCATGATTCAAGGACTAGCTAAAATCTAAAACAGGAGGTCATCACCTTAGTGTTGACACAGGCCAGTTGTATTGTTATTTGTTATCAGAAAGGTTAAAATTATACTTAATTTCTCTCTCTCACACACATTCATACAGTTCTACTCTCATCCCCAAGGAGTGAAATGTAAAGAACAAAGCTCGGTATGTAACAGTGATGACAATTTTCCCCTTAAGCATACTAAATGAGAATGCTGGTGGGATGTTATCTTTAAGAGATACGGACCACTTCTGTACTAGCAAGGAGGAACAGAACATTATTATAACGTTTCCCTTTCCCCCAAAACTTACTGTCTGATCCCTTAGTTTATCATATAGAAACTCCAAACGTTTGCTGGCATCATCCAGCTTCCTCTTGGTTTGCTGTAGAAGAGGAAAAACAGATAATTTAAACATTAATTTCCATCCAAATAACTTGCTCTGTTCTCATTTTACCAAACCTTGTAATAAAGATCTTGAGCAGATTTCATTTTATAAAGAAATGCAGGCAATTATGACCAAGAATGGAGGCACAGTAGTTAAGTACAAGGCTAACAAAAAAGTCAATGGTTTGAACCCACCAGCTGCTACATAAAAGAAAGATGTGGCAATTTGTTCTCATAAAGATTAGCCTTGGAAACCCTGGGGCAGTTCCATTCTGTTCTGTAGGGTTACTATGTCATCAGAATCTAAGTTAACAGCAATGGGTTTGGGAGAACAAAGGAAAAAAAAAACCTCAAACCAAGTTGCTCTCAAACTGGTTCTGATTCATAGCAACACCCGAGTCAGTGTAGAACTATGTTCTCTAGGGTTTAAATGGGTATGATCTTTCTGAAGGTAGACTGGCAGACCTTTCTTCCACAGGGCCCCTGGGTGGATTTGAACTGCTAGCCTTTAGATTAAGAGTCAAGAGCTTAACCATTAAGCAGAAGAACCAAAACAACAAAAAAACATATTGTTGGGAACGAGGGGATCAGAGCAGAGACCCAAAACCCATCTGCAGACATTAGGACATCCACTCACAGAAGGGTCACAAGGAAGGGATGAGTCAACCAGGGAACAGTATAGCACCAATGAAAAACACAATATTCCTCTGGTTCCTTGAGACTTCCTCACCCCCTATTATCATGACTCCAGTCCTGCCTTTCAGTTCTGGCTTGACTGGAGCAGGTACACTGGTATAGATAAGAGCTCATGACACATGAAACCCAGGTCAGATAAACCCCTCAGAACAGAAATGGGAGCAGCAATACCAGGAGGGTAGGAGGAAGGTGTGGGGGAGGGGGTGAAGGGGAAACTGAGCTCAACGATTGATGCATAATCCCTCCCACCACCCCACCACCACTATCTCCCCCCTCCCCCCCATGGGGATGAACAGAAACATGGCTGAAGGGAAACAGTGGTTGGAGTAAGATATGAAAATAATAATTTATAATTTATCAAGGGAACATGAGGTGGGGGTGTCTAAGAGGAGCTGAGACCAAGGGTTCAAAACGAAATGTTTAGAAAATGATCGCAACATCTGTACAAATATTCTTGATACAACTGATGTATGGAATATTGTAAGAGTTGTGAGAGCCCCCAAGAAAATGATTTTTTTTTTAAAGGCAAATGTGGCAGTTATACAATTTCATGTCAATTTGATAAATGAAGCGGTGGAGTCTAGCCTGTCAATCAGGTCACAGCCTGATGATCCTTCCTTGTGGGCATGGCCTTCTCATGAGGCTTCTGGGAACTTCAAACCACCACCCCACCACCCCTTCTCTGATTCACATTCCTGTTAACATGCCACAAGGAGCCACGCTGATGGCAGTCAGAGCCCTGGAGATGTGTCTACTGCCATTGGAGCCACAGGACTTTCCACCCAGTGCTTGTGATCTTCCTACATTCAGCATCATTGCATGTGCTGCATGAGTCTGAAGAGAAATTCATGGGCTAATATCGAACTTATGGGCTAACGCCAAATTTATGGCCTGGGCTGGGATTTTTTATGGATGCATAATTACTTCTTGATATAAAGTTCTCTCTTACACACACAAAAAGAGCTTAACCATTTATACCAACCGAGGATTCAACAGAGCTCAGTGTTGAATTAGAGCTCAGGGGGAATGAGATGCTGGTTGGATTGCAAGCTAACTTGACAAAATGTGTGTGTATAACTGCACTAGATCCACAGGCCATCTAGAGGTAGCAATAGATCATTATAGCCCAGAAGAGAAGGTTTCGTTATATTATAACCCTATTTATTTATTATTAATCATTTTATTTGGGGCTCTTACAGTTCTTATAACATTCCATACATCAATTATATCAAGCATATTTGTACATATGTTGCCATAATCATTTTCTAAACAATAGTATACCTTCTAGTAAGAAGGTAACATCTAGGTGAATTGTGGAATCTTATTTTAACGTCTCAAAAAATAATAACTCTACACTTATTATTTTCATTTGGTATATTTAATCCTGCCTCTTTCTACCCTTTTAAAGCAAAAGGGGGAAGAGGAATGATCTTCTGGCTACTTATGATAATTAGTATACACAGTAAAATTAGCTCTTAAATTTGATACGTTTTTCTACCTAATCTTACTATAACTATACTAAACCAAACCCACTACCACCAAGCCATTTCTAACTCATGGCCACTCTCTATAGTGAGAGGAAACTATTCCAAAACTAAAATACTACTTTAAAAATTATTTTAATTATAAGATGACTTTTTAAAGTTTTAAAATTACAATATGATTAATGATAAATGTCCATTGTGTAAGAGTGGCACTGTTTGTTTCTTCTCCAGTATTTAGTGCCAAGTATATATGCCAGGTGCTGGTACACGACTTGCATGTCAAGGAGCTACACATTCCAGTAGGTGGAGAAAAGATTCTAAATAAATGAATAAAATATTTTATGTCAGCTGTAAAGGAAAGTTGATAGAGTCAGGGTAAAGGGGTTAAAAGCAGTTGGAGTGGGTGTTACTTTATATAGGTGAAAAAGGCCAGGTAATAACATTTGAGCAGAGTCCTGGAAACATGAGGAAGCGAAAAGTACAGACTAAGTTCAGGAAGAGTTACAAGTAGTAAAAAGAAAACACAGGGTCACAAGGAAGGGATGAGCCAGCCAGGGTGCAGTATAGCACCAATGAAACGTACAGTATTCCTCTAGATCTCTTAATGCTTCCTCCCCCCCACTATCATGACCCCTTACAAATCTGGCTAGACCAGAGCATGTACACTGGTACAAGTAAGAGCTCACAACACAGAGAATCCAGAACAGATAAACCCCTCAGGACTAATAATGAGAGTAGAGATACCATGAGGGTATGGGGAAGGTTGGGGATTGAGGGAGTGGAGCAGGTGGGGGGAGGACAGGCCCCCTTCCAGGGGGATGAACAACAGAAACTTGGATGAAGGGAGACATCAGTCAATGTAGGACATGAAAAAAAAATTATTAATTATCAAGGGTTCATGAGGGAGGGAGGGAACAAAACAAGGAACTGATACCAAGGGCTCAAGTAGAAAGAAAATGTTTTGAAAAGGATGATGGCAACATATGTACAAATGTGCTTGACACAATGGATGTATGGATTGTTACAAGAGCTGCAAGAGCCTCCAATAAAATGATTAAAAAAAGAAAATACAAAGTCCCTGATACCAAACATCTCTTGATGTTTGAGAAAAGGCGGCCAATGTGTCTAGAGAGAGGAAGAGAGGAGGCCATCAAGAAATACTCCTATAAAATACTAAACTGTGCTACAGAGCTACTTGGTGCTATCTGGGCAGAACTAACATGAAAATAAAAATGAAGACATGCTATAAAAATCACTCCATTGATAAAAACAGACTTTTGTACAAGGAACTGTAGTCCATCTCAATGGCAATCCCATCTAGCCACCAGGGGGAGCCCTATCTCAAGGCGCTGGAGCACCAGGACAGGGTATTAGAACTCCTCCAACTAGTCACAGGGATTGCATGAGTGCCGTACACACTTGAGTATAAACCAACCCAAATATTGGCCGAGGCACCTAATTTTACCACAAAAACTGCATTAAAAATATGCTTAATTAAAATGTACTGAGCTACATATATAAAGTGTAATGTACTATATGTCCTCCCAACTTCTCTATACTGACTCATAAGCAAAGAAATACAGTTTTGCCCCATTCTTAATAGGACTTCTGTACTTTCAAATGACTACTTAGCATATGCATAGGGGTTGTGGAATACTGTAAATCTGGTCTTCAGCTTCATTTGCCATTCTGGTTCCTGGCTTGATTTTTCCATCACTCCCAGAATGCCACAGCTGTGTTCATCTTTCTCTGCCTCTATTTTTCTGACACTTCTAGTATAAGGGGTTGCTTTCAAGTCCAGCAGAAAGCAGCACATATTAACACTCAAAAGTGCTTGATGAAACAGCAAACTCCAGAAGCTGTTTTTTAAGCAGACAAGTAGCCAGTTTCTAAATGAACATATTCAGTGTTGGCAGAATTTGGAACTTCAACTAAAACAAGGCTGGCTTTGTTAGGTTGTTCTAACACACAGAAATCTTTACTAAGTAAAATCAGCTACTTTTAGTTTAACTTCAATAACAAAAACATTTAACGATTTTTAAAGACATGTCCAAAGTTATTAGCTGGAAATCAAAGCCCAAATCCTAGTTTCTTGTATGCCTCTGTTTTATGTATGTGCCTAACATGATGTACACTAAAGAAAGGCAATACGGCATAGTGCCTAAGGACAAGCGTTCTGCAGCCCAACTGTCTGGGTTCAAATCGTAGCCCTTAACATTGTAAGGGCTATTTAACTGTTCTTTGCCTTAATTTCGTCATTTGTAAAACATATATGATAAGCCTATCTCTTGTAGAGTTATGAAGATTAAATAAATTTATAAATAATAAAGGGAGTGCTGGTGATGTAGTGGGTAACAACTGCACTGTTAATCACAAGGTAAGCAGTTTGAAACTACCAGCCAGTCCAATGGGGGGGTAGCGCGCGAGGGGGGCGGCTTTCTACCTCTGAAAAGTGTTAACAGTACAAAAATGAAGGGGGGAAAAAGAGCTAACAAGAAAACAAAAACCCACTGCCATGGAGTCGAAGCTGACTCATGGAGACCCTAAAGGACCAAGCAGAAAACCCCATCTTTCTTCCAAGGAGTGGCTGGTGCTTTTGAACAGCAAACTTTTGGATCACGGCCCAACTGGTAACTTCTATGCCACCGGTGCTCTCTGTAAAGAGTTACCGTCTGGAAGACTCACAGGAGCAGTTCAACCCTGTCCTATAGGGTCATTGCAAGTCGGAATCGAATCAAATTCGAATCAAAACTACAGGGTCCTATAAGGTTCTATAGGGTCACTGCAATTCAGAATGGCAGTAATTGGTCATTTATTAAGTATACTATACAAGTACTAGCTTCATTGCATTTGTAAAATTTTAAAAATACTTATGTTATAAAACTTAAGCAAAAATGATAAAGACACCACATTTTTTTTCTTTTTTTTTCTGTGAGCAAGTGAGTCAGTAAGTGAGTGAGACAGTGAGAGTGAGGCAGTGAGTGAGAGAGACGGTGAGTGAGTGAGACAGTGAGTAAGTGAGACACTGAGAGACTGAGAGTGACACAGTGAGTGAGTGAGGCAGTGAGTGAGTGAGTGAGACAGTGAGAGAGTGAGGCAGTGAGAGAGTGAGACAGTGAGAGTGACACAGTGAGTGAGTGAGACAGTGAGAGAGTGAGACAGTGAGTGAGTGAGACAGTGAGTGAGTGAGACAGTGAGTGAGTGAGACAGTGAGTGAGTGAGTCAGTGAGTGAGTGAGACAGACAGTGAGTGAGTGAGGCAGTGAGTGAGTGAGGCAGTGAGTGAG